TGTGTGTGTGTGTGTGTTACAGTGTATGATTTCCGATTACTGACCTTTCATGCCAACACCCAAGTAAACGATCTCACGCTAACAGTGAAACACTCATGCATTTCTGTTACAAGGAGACATTCAGTATATGCAACTACACAACTGCAAATACTCTTATTGATGTTACACTGGAAGAAGATATTCTACACCGGAGAAAACCAACTGTCAGTGGAGCCAGTTGTTGTTGTTGTTCTCCTGCTCAGCTGAAAAAGACTGTTAACACTACACAAGGAGCCACTGACTCCTGTGCACACAGCAGACCTCGTGCGGTTTGTGTTACTTTTCACTATTAGCTTTTGCAGTGTCTGTCGAGCACAGTGAATGTTTGGGTTACAGGTTTATTTTAGACAGCATAGTGTGCTTCTCTGTCTTTAATCCATGTTTGCGTTGCGTGTATGTGTGCGTGTGTGAGTGAGTGAGTGAGTGAGTGTCAGTTTGCCGTGTGTACACGTCACAAGGGACCCAGGATATAAAGTCTATTTAATCTGTAATGTAGTTTCATGTAGTAGCACATGATTGTCACCATTGTCAGTGTATTGGATGATGGTGTTGGTCAGAGAATAGACGGGACCCTGTGTCTGTCACGAGACTGAATTTGCACACGAAACGAGCAGTGACCCTCAAGTATCATGATGCTGGTCATCAGTCAGCTTGGTCCAGGTATTACCACGTTCATGTGAGGTGAAGCCAAAATATCCCAGATAAAGGTGCGGCCATCTTGCACAGTGGTTGTTTTGGTCATTACTATGTTTTTATATCATCAAATAAGTAATTCAAACAGTTTTTATCTGAACCTGCTGATTTACCAATCAGCTTCATGATACTGGAAAGTCCAGCCCATCACCTGCCGAGAGCCTGAAACTAGTGATGACTTCTTTTTGTGGCGTTTCTGAGGACGGTATCCTGTTCATGACCTTTCTTACCCTCGTCCCAGATTCTGCTGGGCCGAACGCTTAACACTAAATCATCTCCTGTCCCCCTCGGACGTCGCAATTTCACAATCACAACAGTCCAAGGCCAAGAAGAATGTGTGATGAGCATTTATTTTGTAATCATTTTCTCTTGAAGGAAGTTTTAACATTGGATAAAGGGATGTCATTATTTTAAGTGGGTTGAAACCTAAAAATAACAGGAACTAAGACGCAGCAAAATGTATTTATTTTCAGATCATATCACTAAAGTAACACTGTAAAATACTTCATATCATGAGCTTTGTGTTGTGTATTTGCACAGATGGATTTTGGAAATATATTGAAAAGGGATAAACACTGGAGAGATGTTACCACCTCATGAAATACATTTCTGATTTACTTGTTTATTGAATTAAATTATGAATTATTCTATTTGTTTCTAGGGAAAACAACATTTATGAATCTTTTGATTTAGTCTCCTAATATGTATGTTGTGGATAAAATGGAAAATTTAAGAGGTCACCTGAACTGTTGCGATGTCAAACCCTTAGTTATGGCATTCATGCAATTATGGGAGGAATTTCTTTGTATACAATCTGCACAGAAGTATCTGCTTTTCAGGGGAGAGGTGGGATGAAACCCTTCGTCTTTAACTACTGTCAGTTCATGTGTTCTACTTTCTACTGTTGATTTTCACACTTTCAAAACAACAAGAATGTATTTCTCAAGTCAATCACAGATGCTTCATTTAATTCAACTATGCCTTTTTATTTTGACTGGAGGAGTTAAACAGATGAAAACTTGGCAGTTCTGTTTTCCAATAAACTGGACAAGCAAACAGAGAATCGTAGTGTTGAGTTTTCTTGCGTCGAGCCTCATTCCAAAATGCCGCTTATCCACTTTGAAAAGAAAAAAAAGTTGTAAATCAAACAGTATTTCGACGTTTGTGAGTCTGTTCTTTCAAGCTACTTAGATTTTCTTGTAAACATGTTGAAACGTGTCACTGTGGATGTGATTGTTTTTCAGCAAGTGGATATCTCATTTTGGAACAGGACTCATTAAACAACCATTTCTTTAAGTGACTGGCTGTAACGAATGACACCTCTTGTCTACTGCTACAGGTTTACATCATCCAGGATCTCCGCCATGTGCGGCTACAGACACAGCGGCTGTTGGTTCGCTCTCGTATGGTCGTGTAGACTTGTTAGTGTGCGCTGAGGAGTTAAGTACATCTTTACTTTTTGTGTCCTATTCACTACAACCTGAGATGGACGATGTGACCTATTCTCGATTAAAATTCTCTGAAGACCCAATTACACTCCGGTCTGATAAATAAATACATAATCATTCACAATAATGAGATGTAGTAATTCACAGTACTCAGCAGGGGGACGGGAGGGGCAGGTTTGGGGGTGAGGGGTATTATATGGTACAATAATCGACTCATTCAGATACATATCTTTGTCAGCTGATAATACAAACACAGTGTGCCTCTATATTTACAGATCCAGTACATTCCTATCCCCACCGTGGCAGGCACAGTCAAGTGGTAATGACATATACAGGAGGACGGGCCCACGCATGGAGAGGTCAGAGTCCCATCTAACAACACTGCAGCCTCACACATCACAACATGAGTCCAATCCAGGAAGAGATGTTTCTAAACCTATCGTACGGTCAGTCATCCTCCATTTAACTTCATTGCTGAAGTCACAAATGGTTTTAAACCTGCCTTCACTGTTCTTCTTCATATGCCGTGAACTGAACACTGACACGGTTGATTTTAGGTTTAGGTTGATGCTTCAAACGTTTACACATCCAGCAGACTCAGATATCAGGTTTTCAGGACTGACTCCAGGTGTTAACGGGTTTTAAAACAACTGTAGCTCGGTCGTATCGTACACACGTCTGCAGTGTCGCACTCAGGTTCTTGACCTCTCCACGCTCAGGGCCCTGCAAAGCCAGAGGAGGCCTGTCCTGCAGCGACGGGACGAGGCCCCTCTGGACATGTTTCACAACAACACAGTTAGAGCAGGACAGAAGGAAATCAGTTTTACAGTGAGAGTGAGGGAAAGAAAAGAGAAGAGAGAGAGGAGGAACAGAAGGAGGGTGGTCGCGATGGTGCTGGAGTAAAAAAAAGGACACTGTGAGCCAAGGCTGGTGCCTGGGAAGCAGACAGGTCGAACACGCTGCACACATCATAGCCCTGGCCTGTGTTTCCCATAGATACACACAGCGGCCAGCAGGGGGGCCCAGCTCGCTGCTACCAGTTAGTAAAGCAGAGGCATCAGCTTGTACCAGTTTCTCTCACTGTCACAGGCTGGTTCAAGTACAAAACAGATGGTTTAAAGGTAGCTTGGACTCTGCACCTCCTCGCCCTGTTCTTCTGTGTGTATCTATGGCCACCGTAGTGCAAAGATCATGTGTGACGATAGAGATCCGACACGATCGCAGCACTAAGCTGGTTTGGAGAAACTGAGCGGTCTAAAAAAATCAGGCACGTTTTCTTTACTTCTCCTTGACACGACCCTTCAGGTTTTGCTACGATTTATCAGGCAGCACCACAATTAGCCTCTGTTGTCAATCTCTTGGTCGCCAAGGAAACCAGCAGCCTTTTTTTTTGTAATGGAAGGCATATTTCATATCAAGAGAAATAACTACATATAGAAAAAGAGATATGTCCGTGGAAAGGCGCCATGGTATAATACGATGAAATAAAAGAGTCTGTCCTTTTTTACCCTTTCCCTCCCAAAAAACAGGAACATAACCAGCACTAAAGGTAGAAGAAAGCGATGAAATGTTGGCTGCAAACGCCCGCACGGCGCTGCAGGGCTCTCGAGTCGTAGTTGTCTGAGGAGGAGAGGCAGTGGGAAGCACTTTTTCAACAAGATAAGGACATCAGAGAGAGCGTAGCTGGCATGCTGAAGGCATTTTTTGGAGCAGAAGGGTTGTTTCCTAATTTCAAATGTTTTCTGATTTCGTTGGGAGGGGGGGAGGGGGGTGGGTGCTTGTTTTGTGGCGACTTGAGAACCTCGTCAGAAGCTCTCAGGCTCCTCCAGGAGGCAGGGCTGGGTGGACAGAGGCACGAGGGCCGGGGACAGGCTTCGCAGGCCCACCCCGGGGCGAAAGCTGAGCTCCGGGGCGGGGAGTAAGGGCTTAAGGATGCTGACAAGGCAGAAGGCAGAGCCGCTGTTGGGGATGAAGTTGACCTTGTTGCGGTCGGGACACAGGAAGGGCGGGATGTCCTGCAGAGGTTTGGGCCTGGAAACATGACAGTACATGGTGGTTAAACGAGTTTCATTAGAAAAGATGAGACAAAACACTTGAGAGTTTTCCATATTGTCGGACTATTCTAAAATAAAACACGGAGCCCAAGGCAAGACACATCTGTCCACTTCATCTGGGGTCTGCTGACATCCTGTGAAATCTAACAGTGCATGTTTTGTCGTCCTACTCACATGGACTCCTCGAACACTTTGACCTTCTCGCAGCCCTCTGGAGGTTCCCTCTTGAACATGTAGCTGTTGTTGGGTCTGGGAGAGGCAGCGTACTTCGGCAGCGGTGAGCAGGGTCCCAGCTCTGTGGACAGCAAAGCAATCATGTGCATGAGTTTGGGCAATATGCAAATGCGGAGATGTGTGAGACTGTGTGTCTGTGCGCATCATCACCTTTCTCCTCGTAGGGGCTTCCTCCACTCGTGTCGTTGAGGACGGTGAGGTAGGAGGGCGAGATGGAGTCGGGGCGGCTGCTGCAGTTGCTGTGGTTACCGCTCAGGCCGCCTCCCGAGGGTGTCTGTGTGTCGATGCTGCGGGTGCTGCTGCTGCGCTGCTGCGGGATGACAGGTGGGGGTGCACGGTGCCCATCTGGAACATCCTGTGGCTGTACACACACGCACACACACACATAAACGAGGTCACAATAACAACTTTGCTCTGAGGGCTTAATCCCCGGCCAGTGATGGCGTGTGAATGCTTAAAGGGCTCATTCATGAGGAGGTTGTACCTCATTTATTATCTCTACCTTCTCACTTGAACTACACTGCCTGTTTCCATGTACGCATCTAACACATAAATGAGCTGTAACAGTAAAATCTTAGGAGAACTCACAACGATGGTCTCTTCCTTCTCGGGGGTGTCTCGGATGATGATGCGCTCTATCTCCTGGTTGAGGCCCTCCACGCTGTTGCGGAAGCGAGGGGCCGATGACTTGGATATAGGGATGGGTATCAGGATGGTCTTGGGCATAGGTGACTGCAAAACACACAAACACTGTTTAATGCAGATCCTGCACCTGTTTACAGATCCAGCTGCAGTGAGGAGAGAAATGTTGGTGCATGCTCCGTGTGTCTGGGTTTACTGCTCAGCCCACACAGGAGAAATTACAGCTGCACTTGTAGGAGCAACATTAAATCAAGGAACTTGGAATCATTTGCTTAATACACACACGCACACAAACCCTCCGGCACTCTCTCTATTGATCACCTGCGACTGGATGATAGTATGGCTGCCATTGAACGGGGACTTGCGGTCTTTATCCCTCCGATGGCGGCTGCTTCGTTTGCTGCGCTGGAGCTGCTGACGCAATTTGGCAATCTGTAGGCGAGAGAGAGAGACGCTGTAATGCAGATACATTATATACATAGAGTATTAATGGCCGTGCATGAAGGGAAGACACACGCATAAAAAAACCCTGTTAACATGTTTGTTATGAACATGTCTTAAGAGTGCAGTGTAACGAGGACAGTGGAAAAAATAAAAACAGTTGGTTGTTTATTTGGCCCAAAAAACAGAAAAAACACCACTGACCTCCTTGAGCTGATCGGTGCTCCCACAGGAGGCCGAGCGTTTGTGAGAGCCCCTCCTCCTCTCATCTGCCCAGGCCCTGGGGGTCTGAGACACACACACACACACACACACTGATTAGAACAAAATGTGAAACACACAAGCATTAAACAGCCAAATCATGAGACTCAACAGACTTGGATTAATGAACACACATCAGGACCAGTCCTAACAACCTAAAACTTATTAATACTGACATATACATACTCTGTGACTTTACTTCTTTATGACTCCAAAACCAAAGGTCCTCAAGAAAATTAAGAGGGGCCAAGAGATTGCTGGAAAATGATCTAATTTTATCTTGGAACTTGAGTCTTTATTTATGTCCTAAATCTTTCAAATTAAACGGTGTGAAAAGCAAAACTGCTCTTAAGTCCACGCTGGGGTCATAACCTGTGATCGCTCCATCTCAAGCTAAAACAGGTGAGGAACCACTTCCCTGTAGAGGAGGAGCTCTGAGGCTGCGGTTATAATCACAGCGGCACCGTTGACAGAGCTCAACAGCAGCAGTAAAGAAGCTTTAGTGCCGTTAAGAAGTAAAACAACAGATATGACCTGAGGCGACATTATAAAGAGTGAACGTCTGCTTGACTGCTGGTAAATATCTTACAGCTCGTGTTTGACATGAGTTTGGTTTAAAGTCCGTCGTTGATTGACAGTCGAGAGGCAACACAGCGGGATGATGCAACCGTCTGCAACTGCCTCTTTGCATTGATTGCCTGCAGCATAACCACAAATACAATGCATCCTGCAAGCGTTCGGTCCGACTTTGTCTGAACACTTTTTTTTTTTTTTTACAGTTCCAACACATATTTGACAGAAAGCTGAGCTGCCTTTCTCACAAAGCAGCATCAACACATGGCATGCCCCAGGGCTCTACTCCTGGACCACTATCAGTGCTGAACTTCCGGTAACTCATGATATAAACAAATATTTACCAGATACAAATTCAAAGATGTCAATTCTCACCTGCGTCGCTTTGTCCCTCATGTAGGGAACGTGTTGGTCCTGGCTGTCGTCCTGAGGCCAGGGACCTGTCAGGTGAGAGCCAGCGAGCGCGCCCTGCGAGGGCCACAGCTGGACGCGATGGCGGGAGACCGAGAGGAGAATGAGGAGCAGAGAGCTCGGGCAGGTAGGGAGGGGGGACGCCACAGGGCACGGAGGAGGACCACAGGGAGGTGTGGTGGGTTAAGGCCACTGATGCTGTCTGAGGAGGAAGAGGAGACAGAGAGGCATCTTAATGAGTTGGGTCTTTTGATGTAAACAAGTCAGCACATGGTAAACACATCAACAAATCAACAGACACACAGTTGGCCTGCAGGATAAGCTCATGGTCGTCTTGCTCTGTCTAGGTTTGTGTGCATGTGCATTAGTGTGTATGCGAGGGTGTGTTGCCAGATTGATGTTAATCCGTCCTGTGCTGCAGAGCGGATATGCCCCCGTCTAAGTCCCACACAGCCCCCTGGGTTAATGGCATTAGAGCAGCTTAAAGGGATGGTGGGGTGGAGGGGTGGGATCACTGAGGGCAGGTGCCTGATTCTGACCAAGTGACCCGACGGACTGCTGCAGCAGCATGTTTTGCCTCGGTGCACGGGTCCACCTGTGGCAGCGTCAGCACATTCTCATGGTAAATTCCAGCTTTGCATTGGAAAAAAATAAACATAAGAATCTGATCTATCTATCTTTCTGTCTATCTATCTATCTGTTTATCTATTTATCTATCCATCTATCTGTCTGTCTGTGTCTATCTATCTGTCTTTCTATCTACATCTGTCTGTCTATTCTCTCTCTCTATGAGCAATATGTCATTTACAAAAATTGCACAGTGAAGTGAATTGTGATTATCATACAAAGAAAATCTGTTTTAACACCAATAGTCACAGTTTGTGTGACTGTGCGACAGGAGATGCAACAATAATGAGGAAAACACGATAAACACGCACACACAAACTACAGATTCCCTGGAGGGATGTAAATCACCTGTCAGGAGACAGAAAGCTTAAATATATATATTTTCACTGTGGGTGTTGTCTCGTTGGGAACTAAAGCCAGCCCTATTAAAATCCTGCAGATGCAGCATGTGTGCACACATACAAACACACCGCACCGACTAGCAGAGCAGGTCCTGGAGCTAAATTTGGCAGGGGCCTTGACCAGCGCACATCACTGTTGCTAGGGAACGCTGCTGACTGATTTCCATTGACTGCGCTTGTGTGTGAGTGTGTGTGTGAGTAAGTAAACATGGGTTTGGGCGATCGGCAGTCTAAATGCTCCGCTGTCTTTATTTTGACGGCTGATTTTCCTGTGTCAGACTGTAGACCCACGAATCAGCAGCCTGCTACACCGCACTGCAGGCGGAGAGTAACGCTGTGTGTGGCTGTGGCTCAGCCTGCTGATGTTTGTCTCTGTCCACACAACATTCACAGTAATGATATGCAGAGACATTACTTGGCGGTATCTTGGTGTCACTGTGAAACAGGTGAGTTCACGCTGTGAGTCCGAATGTATTGATCTGCTCGGTGTAAAGTGGCAGCTCACACACACACACACACTAACCAGTGAAACACAGGATGTAAATAAACACTGTCTTCCACCCATCGATTTGTGTTTCCCAAAAATGTCAAAACCCTAAAAAGACATCCAACCAACACTCAACAAAATAACTATTCCAATATGATTTTCATCCATAGCAATATAACAAAAGTCCAATATATCAATATAATGCTTATGCACTGTGCAAGCCCAGTGAGGAGGTAATAGTACATGGTGTAATAATGTGACATTTCAGATATTAAAGCAGAAATTTGGATTAAGTGAATTCTTGGCTACTTAAATAACATAAATTTATATCGATGATTATTTCAGCTTATGTTCATACACTTGCACATTAGACTCATGTCAGTTTAAATGAAGTGGAATATAAATAAAAAGGAAGAGGAACACATTAAACTGCACTTATTTCTAATAAAAACATTAATTGCACATGAACTCAGTGTGAGTCAGATCTCCCAGCAGCAGCCTGCTGTGCTGCAGAATCTAGGCCAGACGTGTTTACTACAGCAGAGCATGCAACAGCAGCTTTATCACAACAATGCATGGACCCACCACCTCACCTGACAGACGAGCACCGTGCGCTGTGATGCTGGTCGGGTTTAAATGTGTGAAATGAGAGGAGGAAGGCGCTCACCTGCAGAAATGGGATCTGCACATCCAGGGAGCGCGGAGCTCCACAGCAGCCCGCCGGCCCCTGTGGGTGTTTGCCGAAGATGCTGCCGGGCAGAGCGGGCGAGATGGGACCGGGAGAGGCGGCTACAAGCGACGGAAGCCTTCTTTGGAGAGAAACACAACCGGGCAGGACATAAGGAGGACGGTGAGACGTGTTCCCCGACTCAGGAGGTGTCGAAATGGGCGTTGCTGTGCTCGCACCTCGCCGCCTCCTCCGCCTCGTCGTGGATGGATGTTTTTCTCTCCCCGGCTGATGCGCAACGACGCGACGGACCGAGGCGCACAGCGATGCGCTCCGAGCTCCGGGAGAAACAGAAGAAATGTGGGTTCTTCTACGAGTGGAGAGGAGGATGAAGAGCCGCTGGAGCTGCAGAGACGACGGAGAGGAAGGAAACGGAGGGAAACAACACGGACATGGAGAGAAGGTGATGCTGGCCTCGGCTGACACGACGGGAGGAGGACCAGTGTGAAGCCAGGAGGGCCGAGCAGAGACACTTCTGCTGGGCGCTTTCAGAGTAAAACAACCCTCAAGCCTGAAATCCACTCATCACCCAGTCACCACTGTGCCGGTGGAGGTGGGTGAAGTGTTTGAGTCTCAGGGGTAAACAGCGTTGCAGCCAAATCCAATACAAGTGAAGTAACTGAAGTAAAACAACAAAAACACAAAATGCATCCATACTGTTTCTGTGGTGTCGTCCACGTGTCCACAAGCCCAGACGTTCAAACTCAACTGGAAACGAGGCCCCAGATTCTTCTACTTTAGATCTGTAGTCCAGATCATGTGTCTGCACCGACCGTGCATCCAGGACCATAGAGATCCAGCGAGGAGCTAGTTATAGTTATAATAACAGGCTGAGCTAATACACAGAAGTTTGATCTCATTCATCCTGAAGTCACAATAAAACATATCACCATACAAAGTGTTTGTTCTTATTCTTCTTATTACAAAGATAAGATCACGTATTATTATTTTTACCACTGATACACAAACAGTGCAATAACTACTGACTCGTCCCTGTGTTAACTTCGCTTTGACAATTAAAACGTGAAACTCCTGAAACAATGATTATATAATTGTAAATGCTCGTTTCATTCTATTTCTTTATCTTATTATAATTATATTTACTTCTGTCTGCGTCTGTTGCTTCCCTGTATTTTTTCTCTCCAGCTGTTTTTTATTTTATTCGAAGTGTAAATTGGTTCATTTCCGGTCTCATCCCGGTTACTGATGGTAGCTTGACGCTGTGACGTGTCTCGTGCTGATGCTGCAGTTGCTAGGGCGCGTGGAGCAGACGGCGCAGAGGAGAGGAAATGTCGCCCTCGTGTGTCCACTTTTGTGAACTACAGCGACTGTGTGGAAGAATTCTACTTTCTGAATATTCTGTGTTTCTGTGTGTAATTTAATTAACTACTACTTCTTCTTAGTACTACTTCAGGTTTGATGAGTCAGACTGTCATCTCTTATATCACCTTATATCACAGGAAGGCTTTTTTCTAGTGATTGAAGTGTCTGTCTTTTCAAAATTCAAGATTCAAAGTTATTTATTGTCATTACACACAGCTACAATGAAACTGTGGTATAAAATATATAGAAAATCAATCAATTAAGTTTGACTTTTATTCTGTGATGCACTGTGATAC